AATATTCTTTCACTTTGCAAACTCATTAAATATCACTGTAGAACAAGCACTATCTGTATGTCTAAGAGTCCTTCTTCTTTTTATTGTTTCCTTTAATTCCTAGGGGAACATAGGGCTTCAGCCACACGTCCCCACTGCGTTCGGTTCTCTGACAACGTTTTCACCTGGTTGCACGTCTACCCACATGCCTTCATCTCCTCTTCACATGACCTCCTCCAAGTCACCCTTGGACGACCAACTCTCCACTTCCCATTCGGTCGGGTTCCACTCGAGGGCTTGTCTAGTGATGTCACTTGATGGTTTCCCCGAAGTATGGCCAATCCATCTCCATTTCTTCTTGCTTATTTGTTTCACAATCAGTTCCTGGTTAGTTTGCTCCCAGATATCCCTCACTATTGTTGATCTTTTCTGGCTGGCCATCTGATCTTGAGTAATAGTGAGCGAAGACAGGATTGTTGGAGGTCTGTGGTTTGTTAGAAGTGCCCTTCGAGACGCGGCACCAAGTCTCTAATCCGTATAGCAGTAGTGACATCACATTTGAGTTGAAAATCCAGATCTTGTTTTTCATATTGAGTGCTGTTGATCTCCGCACAGACTTGAGAGTAATGAAAGCTTACTTTGCTTCCCCGATCCTCGTTTTGATATCCAGATCAGTTCCGTCCGCCTGTAGTTGAGACGATGCTTCGTAGTTAGGTAGGTAGGTGAGGGAGGTTGCTTCTTTCAGATTCATCCCATATATGCTGATTCTTGTCTGTTGTCGCTGTTGGCCAGGAATCTTCATCACCTCAAGAGTCTTTCTTAGCCATGGAAATACAGTGTTACCAGTAAAAAAAGCAAATAAAATGTCCATAACCTGAAAGGGTACACTGTTATAGGGACTGTAATTTATGAATCATTTTACCAAATAAATAGTACTACTAAGTCTAAGAAAGACTGTTTAAAAGGATGTTTAATTTAGAAAAGTGATTCTGCTTATCATTATTACTGCAGTTGCTTATGTATTTTCGATAGTAATTTGTATGGGTGCTCACCAGGAGTTAAAGCTACCAACCGGTACGTAAATATAGTTAGCTATTTTAAAACTTAATCGAAATTAGAATCGAGTAAAGTTTGATTGATTCATTTCTGGATTAGTTGTTTAACCTATTTTTAAATCCTGGTGGTGACACATAGTGATGTTGAGAGACAGTAACAAAGTACTAAGTTCACTTACTCTGACATCCCAGTTTTACTTGATTTTTGTTGTCTAACCTTTTTATACCCTTAGCGATATCTGAATTGAGTTGACTAGTCGCCGTTGTTGTCAATTCTCTGAATAGTATCATGATGACAGGTAAAATTTGGCATGTATATTTTACTACTGGATGGAAATTTTTGTCTGTTGCAGATCTTGTCATCTTGCGACTCAAACATACAGTAATTATTCTCCTTAAAGGATTCAACGATGCATTTCTTGTCAGTATGGTGCTTATCTTTCGATAAAATGAAGAGATGAAACATACTGAAATAGTGGAGAAGATGTGTGATTCAGGTGGATGATATTTAATTAGTTGTGTTCTCTGAGCTGGTCGTAATTAGATCAACCGACTCAGAGAACACAAGTAATCCAATAGACGACACATATACTGAGAGAATTATTAGCTAGAAAACTCGTCTCTACATTGAATAGTAACTGTACAGAGTTGAATAGTTCCGTACCAGGACGAAACAACTATTCAATACTTCTATTTATTTAGTGATTTATCGCAACTAATTTCACTAGAACCTTCAAAACGCATCTCTAATTAATCATTCCTCAAGTACATCTGAAAAAAATGAGTGGATGAAAGGAACTACATCATTTCAATGCCAAAGTATACTACAAAAGATAGCATATTAAATTCTTTCTTACAAAAAAGCGTCCACTATTGAACACAGTCTCGTGAGATTGAGTCTAGACGCAATATCCACAAGAAATTTCTTCTTTTTGTATTACAGACAAACAAACATTATTGGCATTAATTGATATATGCATATAATATACACCTTGTATTCACATATTTTTCTAATCAGGTAAAAATGAGACATATTCTGTTTTACAGTTTGGTCTGTACACTGGTACAAAATGAGTCTGGCGGAAGTATATATTTTTTTCTAGTAGCCAAGGTCATATGACATATTTTAACAAGCCTGGCACTATAATCAATAATTCTGATATTATTTATCTGAATGACTAGCTTTCTTTTATTTTGATTGTTGTGTGGAGCATTCTTCTTTAGTATGACAGTTGGTAAGCTATCATATTAAAGCTGAATTCCTTTGCTAGCCATTAGTCATGACTGGGGAGTAACTGTTACCTCATGAAGGTTAGTGTTTAGATAAAAATTTCAGGAAACTACTTTAGTCACTGTTAAATTCACAAGTATTATTAGTAGACCATCATCTAGTGTGGACAATATGGTACACTGAGGTGTTGTCAACCAGACCATGTACCTCGCTAATGTATTCCATATTGGGCCTGCTAATGCTGAGTGTACACTGTATTTCTTGTAATCATGTGATGAGTCATGATTCAAGCAATCCTACTATTCTACTTCTGTTGTTGTGAATTTTAGAGGTGTGGGTGATGAGTGGTGTAATTGCTTTGGCATTACTATGACCGATGAACCATTCTTCATAAATGATACAAAGATTAATACAGATTCATTGCATCATAGTATCTAGGCTTTATTATAGCAGTAACTTTTGGTATATATTATATATATATATATATATATATAGGACATATCACACAGGAAAACAGTATTAGTTATTGGACGACGTTTTGAACATAATTTATTGTTTATAATCGACTTAGTTGTAACTACACAACTTCTAAAGTTGATTTTTACAGTTCTTTTTCTTCCTTTCCATTTGTCATAAGGGTAGTAGAATTTTCTGGATTTCCCTGTCAGGCGTTGAATCATTCCTACTGCATGTATTATCAGTTAATTCAGAGACTAAAGCTTCATTTATCAACCTCTCTCCCTCTCTCTATCCACTTATATAAGATTTTAAGCCTATCATCTCTCATCCTATTGTATAACTGAGTGTAACTGCAGTGAAGTGTTATAATTGAGCTATTTCCTAAATTTCATATCTTATTAAAACCAACTAGCGGAGATTTTGCTAGGCTTTCGTGTTACTCTAAGTGATCCTGTACTACTTTATTATTATTTTTTGATCACAGCTTGATTCCACACCGTACGTTTTGGTACAGGTATGGAATTTTCAGCATGTGATATCGGCAGCCCAAATTTTGCAGGCCGACCACAGATATCAGGTGTACGTCGGCAGGTGATCGAACCCAGGATTATGTGTATGATCAGTGAGAGTCATAACCTCTGTGCTACCCGTTTGTAGGATACATGTAGAATTTTTAGCAATCTTTTGTACAGTATGTATTGATTATGTTTGATTACATCTCCTTAATAATTCAACTTTCACAATATTCCCGAACGGGACTACGGAAAGGGTGTTTCAGACTTATTTATTCTTCATCAACTGATACATTTTGTTTGCATCAGAGAATTCTACACAATCTTTTAATCAAATCTCTCAACTAGTGAACATTCCATCTTGTCTTGTGAATCAGACTGACAGTGGTTTAATCATTCAGTCATGTCTATGTAAACAGTGTTTTATAATCAGGCACATTTTCAAAACTCACAGCAAACTGTGGTACACTACAATTCTAGAAATAATAAATCAAACCAAATACCATAATTTTACTGTTTATGCTGTACTTGTAAACTGTGTACAATAGTTCAGGCTGGACAATTTTGTACTGTATACAAAAATATTTTCCAAAATAGGGTATCATGTGCCTAAGTCATAGTATATGACTTTATATTCATATTTTTTGTTATTTCCTGTTTTATTTTTTATGTGCAGTGATTGATACGTATTCAAGGTAAGTTATATATACCTACGTAGTCATTTGTTACTTCATACCAGCATAGATGCCTGTTTTTCTCACATTCAAACTGCACTGATGGTTAGGTCATTTAAGATAGCCTTGGGTTTGCTGACTATTACTGGAGTGGTGAACAAGGACTGAATGAAAAAAAAAGAATCGTGGCAGGTTTCAGGACAGTAGCTTGAAAATTACCATTTCGATGTCCTACCACCACGGGAGTTGGAAGATCCAACCGTCAGTCAGGTTGTCATTTCATTGAAGTCAGCAAAGGGTAATTAATACCCAACTGTCATGTGAATAAATAATGTGTTCGCTTATCATTAAGCTAGCCGCCTAGCTAGTAGTTTAAAATAAGCACTGATAAAATTTGTACAGTTTAGTTTTCAACATCTGTTAGAATATACTGAACCTTTAGAATGTCTTTTTGTCACTTGACTGCTAAGTTTGAATTATTTTGATTACTCCGCATATTTCATAATTATCTTTTTTTTTGTTAATCAAATAAATAATTCTCACTGATGTCTTAAATCTGATGCGAAAGTCGTGTGAGACAAATATACAAGGTTATGAGTAGTATGTATTGTCCCCTAAGTACTATACCATAAAAATAATACTGTTTTATTGTGTCAAAGTGTCCATTTCTTGCACCTATATTAAAGTCGTTTTCTTTCTACCCTTGTCTCATTAGCTTCCGAACTTTAGATGAAACTGTTCGCTATTTTTCAGTCCTTGAGTTCCGAGTCGAACATAGGACTTCAGGTTTACAGCCTTGAAGTTTCAGTAGACGTAATATTGTTTTTTTACGGAGAATATCTGCTAGCCTCACGCCCAACCTTCAAATTTTTCAGCATTAGTAAATTAGGCAAGGACTAGAATTGCATCGAACTGAAACTGAATCTTGAACCACTTGGGTATCTGGTGAGCATTCTACTCTTGAATCGCCTACGTACTTCTAGTAGTGAGATTAAGCCAGACGAAAAATATATATCAAGTTGTCCGATAAAGGAACAAATAAAGTAAAATAAATGAAAACATTGTTGTTTTTTTAAAAAAATAAACTTACTAAAACGCAGAAACAGATCGCGATGAAATGGTGCCTTGAAATTAATTTCCAGTGTTGCTACCCATGGGGTGATTCCTGGGAATTTGGCACTGAATTGATTGGCTTCAGTTAAAAAATTCACAAAAGAACCAATACCAAATATTCCATGTGGATGATAACCAACTAGATAGTTTTTAGTTGTAGGGAATAATTCTTTTACACAGGCTAATTCTCTTCTATTTATTGAACAGTCATGATTGTTATCACTCGTTTCATTACTACTGGTCGCATTGACTTCAGTTTGGTGTTGTCCATGAGTATCACTGTTGCATAATTCACTCAGTACAAGTTTTATAGGGAAATAACTAGCTAAATACTTCCAAATAATTAAATTTCGAATAAATTTTTTTGGATGACTACCTTTTTCTTCAGCGCCTTTATCAATTCGCCAATATATCCAATATGTTGTAATAAATATAAATAAGGCCGAAAAATGCTTCACTGAATGCATTACTTCTTCATGATTAATTATTTCATAAGGATTATTCATTAACTCTTCATTTTTCATTAATTCATTACCAATTGTATAGGATAATTTAAACAATTTAATTATTGAATAAATCCATATTAACCAGCATGTTGTTGCACAGAATACAAATGTTAAGACAAAGGATAAAACGCTTAAATATTGAAATATTGTTTGTTTTAAGTGAATACACCGTTTATGTTGAAGTAGATTCGAAAGAATAGGGAATATTTTTAAACAGTATGCATACATTGTGTTTAGTTGCTTGTTATTATGTCTTTTCTTGTCGTTGTAGTGAAATGAATATATATATATATATATATGTTTATAATTTAAGTACAATATCTTTGTAGTATGCTTATGTTAAACACAATGACAATAGAATAAAAATGTCTAATCACTCCAGTGCATCGTTTGTATGAACTGAACAATTGCACCAAACTACTTTATATATAGCGCTAATTTTATTATTTTTTTTTACTACATAACTAAAGTGTATATCATGTTGAAATTTGATTGGCACATTGAACAAAAGTTAATGAGTGGGTGGTAGTGGGTAAATGACCTTTATTTGTTTATACATAAGTGAAATTAATACATGATAATTATTATTTCATTTGAAACTTTATTAAGTATTTTAATTTAATGTTTTTATTTGAAAAATCTTTTAAAATAGTCAATAGTCAGTTAAGTTATAAGTGTAAGTGGTTAAATGCCTATTGACTACTGAATATTTTTCAAATTAAAGCAACCAGTCCCTTTGCTAAATTTGAATATGGCATTTAAAAGACAAATTTCGCCCGATGACAGATATCATTTCGTAGTTGCTTTACAATCACTTTACAACTCACATGGTTCACAATAATAAACATATAAAGGTATGACAATTATAAGTTTCCACACCGTCGATGCTACGAATTTCCTGGAATAATTTGAGCTTCAAATCAGATTGTTTCACTACCAATAATTTAAAATAATACTAGCGTGTTTAAGAAAAAATCAAAACAAGATTTCTCTGGACGTCTCACTGTGTAATTCACAGCTTCTTCAGCAGAATTATTCGGATTTTTATTAATCATCAAAATATATAGTCAAATTTTTTTTAACATAAATTGAAGTCAGTTCATTTGAAGGTCACTTGTCGAGAGATATTTGTACCGGTAGAAATACATGAGCATCATCATATATTTGTAATGACTAATATCAAATTATCATTGTGCATGTCTGTATGTGTGTGTGTGTGAGTATATGTTATTTGTCACATGGAAAGGACATCAATTCACATGTGATATACATGATAATATTTTCAGAAATATCACAGAGGTTGGAAGCATAGGTTTATGCAAAAATGCCAGACGCTCTCTTGCTATTTTTGTCTAAAGGAATGTTTGAGATTATATATTACATGGAGGATTTAATCATGAGCTGACATCAGTTAGAGAACCACTGGAAAACCTGGGAGTACTGGACAGCTGTTTCGTCCTAGTTTGGGACTCCTCAGCAGTACGCACCCACCGGGATTCGAACCCAGGACCTTCTGGTTACAAGGCGAGCTCGTAGACCATTGAGCCACTGGGACCCGATCCAATGGTCCTTGAATTCTAACTTCTGCCAGTGGCTCAATGGTCTACGAGCTCGCCTTGTAACCAGAAGGTCCTGGGTTCGAATCCCGGTGGGTGCGTACTGCTGAGGAGTCCAAACTAGGACGAAACAGCTGTCCAGTACTCCCAGGTTTTCCAGTGGTTCTCTAACTGATGTCAGCTCATGATTAAATCCTCCATGCAATCAAACAAAATCCCTACAACAAACCAATACTTAAAGATTATATATTACTTATTTAAGTAAGTAGGACATTAACTACTAACTAACCATTTGTAGTGCTATGAAATAGCAGATGTTAAAAAGTTTTATACATCTATAAGGTTTGTTTACATTCATATTAGAAGGCAGAGTTTAAAACACATGAAAAGTGACGTAAGTTAATGTAATTATAACAATTAGATGGTAAAGAGAGTAGCCATTCATCTCTGAATGATTTTTTGGTCATTAAGGCATAATCTGTCCTCATGAAGAGTGAAAAACACAGAAGTTTTGATGTGGTTTTGTTCTCTGAGCTGGATAGTTAGTTTGCGAAGCTTTCATCACCTTACTGGGTGACATCTTCAGCGCATACTTCAAATTGAAGTGAGCTTTTAGGTTTCTCCACGAGTTTATTAATCATTCCTCCTGGTGACCTTGAACGTGATTGGTTGTTTATGTATGTTTTCACACCTTCTAGGTTACTTGTGTTGGAACTGACTTCGCTGACTTACACCATCTCTGGCGTAGGCGTGACATCCGGCTATCAACCAAGGGACGTATGTACTGCTCAACAGTTCGCTCCGTCCTTCTCTATGGCTCTGAAACATGGCCAATACGAGTTGAAGACATGAAAAGGTTGACTGCTTTCGATCATAGATGTCTGCGATCTATGTCTCACGTTAGGTGGTTTCACAAGGTAAGTAATGTTGACGTCAGGCGTAGAGTGTTGGGCGAAGAGGGAAAATCAATCGACGAGGCTATAAAGTTACATAGATTGAGATGGCTGGGTCACGTGCTGCGCATGCTTAACCATCGCCTCCCCCGACGGGCATTGCTAGCTGATATAGGTGCAGGTTGGAAAAGAGCCAGTGGTAGCCAAACAAAAACATGGCCTCATCAATCCATGAAATCCTTGACAGTTAAACTGAGTCAGGTAGGGAGATGCAGACTCCCGGGTTGGGGCCCTCAGGACTCTAGGAATCAATGTCTGGAGACAATAGGTGACATGGCTCAAAATCGTTGTCAATGGCCAGCGCATATGTATTCAGTCTCTGTAATCTTTCATATTCCTTTCTACCATTACCCATTCTGTTTCGCTCTTATACTTGTCAGACTGTATTGATTCCCTTCACTCATCTTCTTGTCTACCTCTGTGTGCTATTTGGAACGTGGCAATTGGAACTGGTGCACTTCGGTGCCAAGTTCTATGTCGAATCCAGACAGACTGTTACTTTTGATGTGGTTTTGTTCTCTGAGCTGGATACTCAGTTTGCGAAGCTTTCATCACCTTACTGGGTGACATCTTCAGCGCATACTTCAAATTGAAGTGAGCTTTTAGGTTTCTCCACGGGTTTATTAATCATTCCTCCTGGTGACCTTGGACGTGATTGGTTGTTTATGTATGTTTTCACACCTTCTAGGTTACTTGTGTTGGAACTGATTGTTTCTGTGACTTGAACTTTGGCCAATTGTGTGTGAAGTTTCTTTCTTATTGGTTGATAAATTTTGTCTATCTCGAGTTGTCTATTGATTGATGATTCACTGGAATGCCAAGCTTCTAAAAATTCTCTAGCATTCTTGTTATTTCCTTTGTCTAATATTTGAACGTTGTCCCAGTCGAATTGATGTCCGTGGTTGTCTGTGTGTAGTGAAATGAGGGAGTGTATATCATGTCTTTTGACGGCTAGCTTATGTTCGTGGATACGAAGACGAAGGGGACGTCCACTTTGGCCAATGTAGTGTTTTTCACAGTTGTTACAGTTTATTTTGTAGATGATGTTGGTTTTGTCTTCTTTTGCTGTTGAGTCTTTTGGTTGACATAGAATTGAGTGCAGCGACTTTGTTGGTTTGTGTACGACGTCAATTCCTAAAGGTTTGAAGAGTCTTTTAGTGATTTCTGAGATATCCTTTATATATGGTAAGGCGATTTTCTTTGTGTTTTCCTTGGTGGCTTTTGTTTTGGTAGGTTGGCTTGGGGGTATATGTCTCTTGATGAAATTCCGGGGATATCCATTCTTTTGGAAGACGTCCATGAGATACTTTTCTTCAATTTTTCTTAAGGTGGGAGTGCTGCAGTGAGTCCTTGCTCTCTTGAATAGTGTTTGTATGCAGTTCCTTTTGTGTGCTATTGGGTTGTTGCTGTTGTAATTCAGTATTTGGTCTGTGTGAGTTGATTTCCTATAAACTTGAGTTTCTAATTCTCCTGTAGTTGTTCGCCTGACTAAGACACAGAAGTTTAATTTGTGTGTATTCCCCCCCCCCACCACCACCACACAGACACCTATCTAGAATACCTTAGATTCAACAGTCATCAGTAATCCATTTGCACATCCGTAGGTGCAAATCCAGTCTTCAACTTCAAACTAAGACGCCCATATATACACACATATAATTTACAAATTTACATCGAAAAATATAAACAATGGATGTTATATTAAAGGTGTAGTAGAATAATCGATCTTAAAATAACTCCATGAACAATCCATTTACAAAAACCGTTGGTGGCACAGTGGTCAGGACTCTCGCCGACCATGCACATGGTCTGGAGTTCGACCCTCTACCGACGCACACCTGATATCTATGGTCGGGCTGCAAAATTTGGGCTACCGATATCACATGCTGAAAATTTTATACTCGTACCGAAAAATACGGTGTGAAATCAAGCTGTAATCAAAATAAAAAAAATTAAAAAAATATTTGGATATTTCAGTTCACTCTGTAATTATTATCTTTGTCCCCTGTAAGCTGTATGTCACTGTTCTAGAGTTTAAATATCCCCTTTTGACTTAATCCATAATGTTAGTCTTCGTGTCCGGTTGATACCCATTTCAACAATTCTGCTTGCTACTGTATGGCGTTGTTAATAATGTGCTGTTGTGAGACTGAAATTCTGGTCAATTGAAGTCAAGATCACGCCATGGAGTGACTACTTGCCCTTGAATCGTCTTCCAGAAAGTGTTTGTTCTGTCCGACTCTTTCAGATAGAGTTTCGATCCCAACTTGTTAGAAATATTTTTATTGAAATTCAGATAATTTATAGTTATATTCAGTCAGTTCATTCTGTTGTAAAGTATTTCCATATTTTAGAGATTTTAGACAGTATAACTGCCGGACGGTATTGTTGAGGCAGTTTTGTATTTTTGATATAAGTTATTATTGTTCAGTGGTACCACAGACTCTATCGCTCAAACTGTCTTTTAGATATATTTAGGCTGTGCATGATTCGTGGAGATTTGGCAAGGTATACAGAAGAATATATCTATCGGTTTCTGCGATGATGTTTTCACCGAGACGTGAACCAGGTACTCTGCTAGTCACTATCCACCAGATAACATCAATTTTAATCTTCAAACACCGTCGTAACGTCCGTACTAGGAACCAACATATCAACAAAAGCCAAGAATTTCTCTTCAACCAACTAACGAGAAGAACAAAGATTAACCTGAACAGAACATTGATCACCCTAATCTTTTTTCAGATGCGTCTCAAATCCTTCTTTAGGATTAGTATTGGTGCTAGTTACTGGGTCAACTAGATCTGAAGAATGATTCACTTTATGGTGCATATAACCCAATAAAGATGATTGATGATATCCTTTTCACTCGTCTGTGTGAATAACTGCTCCTGAGATCACCAAGAGGTGTATCATTGGTAGCAAAATACTGGCTTTTCTGTTTTGGATCTTTTCTATAAAGCCTTTTTCCAGTGTTGAATCATAAAATTTCGGTACTTAGACTTCATTTCCTTGTTGTCTACTCCTATTGTTTTTGAGCTTGATAAGAACAATTTCATCAGTGTATACAACAATACCAACCCCTCAAAGTGCAGAAGTAATCCGATTCATCCTTACTGAAGCACTATCACGACGATTTTGACATTACTTCACTGTCACCACCAACATGTTCTCAGTTTCTTCAGCAGTAGGAAACGCTGAACGTTATAGAAGCTAAACATGGCATATACACAATATTTTGGTTAACGACAGTTCACATTTTGAGAAGAAAGCTCCTAAAAGAGTAAACAACCTATTGACAATTACAGACTTCGTGGAATGATAAATACTATCTTTGAACGTTTAACTGCCAATCGCTTGACAATACTTTTAAAGTATCACATTCCCTTCACATGTATATTTTTTATCCCTTGCTATTAAACCAATATCCATATAAAACTCGGAAATCAAGTCAAGGTGAAATCAGTAACGGAATTCGTTCATAGCATCCATTTTAACAAGCCAACGAATTGACCGGTTCGTCCAAGGTCACTTCTCTGAGCTGTAATTTGTCAGTTATTAATTCTCTATCACCCTAAATTATGTCAAATAAACACTGATCGATTGAATTAAGCAATA